AAGGGCAGCTAGGCACCCTATTACTATCTCCTTCTTTATCTAGGGCAGAGGTGTGCTGGAGCCAGCTCTTTCCTGTTGTATTTTCGATGTGAGCTTTTTCCCTTAGGAAATCAGTAAACACTACAAATCAGGGTTTTATTTATTGTTTTCTTGATTGTCTAGACATAAGGAAGAAATGAAAAAAATATTAATAATGCAGATTAAACTTAAAAGTATATCCTGCTACAATTCCCCCCCCCCTTCCCTCTGAGAGTCAGTTGTTAAATATTTATCAGCTCACTCCTGATCTAGGGTACTGGAATTGGTACCTAGGAGCCTTTTTTATTCTGCCCTTTCCTATCCCAAAGGTTATTCTTCTTGACTAAGAGGACAGAGCAAAATTAAGAATTGAGTAGCTCTGCCTTCTCTCTGATGTCGTTTATAAACATGTCATCCACCCTTAGTAGGGGTCCTGGCCATTCTTTGATCCTCCTCTTCCCTCTAAAATAGCTAAAAAAAACCCTAAACCCACATCTTTTTTTTTTTTTGTTGTTGTTGTCCTTAGCTCACTTCAACAACTTTTGCACATCCTAAAATTTATATCCCCTGACTATATTCTTACTGTGTCATGCCAGGCTTTTATATTCATCCTCTGGTACGTGACCTTTTACCATCTTCTTTGTGTGTTTTTTTTAAAGTCTTGGGACAACTCTTGTTCTTTCTCCTTTTGGGTATTTTTTTACTTTTTGTCTTCAAAACTTCATTTTTGAGAGTTTCCCATCACATCACTGAATCTGGGGTGCATGTCAGGTCACACACAGATGTCCTCTCCTCTATCACAGTTCTAGAAGGGATTGGCCACTTCACTCCCACCTCTCCAAATCCCTTAATTTCCACCCTAGCAGCCATTTCCTTCTTAATGGTGAGAATATGATCCAGATTAGAATCTTCCCCTTGTTGGTTTCTCTACTTTTTGAAGGATGAAAACATCATGAAGGGAAGCCAAGAAGTTATTAGCAGCTCTGCTTTCAGCAGAGAAAGAAATTGCCAGCAGATGTCCCCCACCTCTCTCCCAGGCTTGTGATATATTTCCCAAACTTCTCTTTTATTTCCTCTTTTCCAGGTGTCCTTTAGTAATTTGTGATGACAGAGTTATTTTTGTTTTTCCCCTGCATTGATCTTTTCCCAGATGTTCTTCATGTCCACTCTGCTCTGGTTCCTGGGTTTTCTTTTTTTTTTTTTTTTAATTTTCAACAAATATTTAGTAAGCACCTACTGTGTACAAAAAGAACATAGTGGTGCATGTGCTTGAGGGTAGAGGAAGGAACACTATTTAAACAAGACGTAATCCCTGCTGTCTTATAATTTAGTATGGAGATAAGACATAAAAATAGTTTGGTAAAGTGAAAAGTGTCTCAGATCCCATCTATGCCATTTATTACTTATATGACCTTGGGCAAGTTCATTCATCTTTCTAGACCTCAGTTTCCTCATATTTATTTATTTATTTATTAATTTATTTATTTTGAATTATCAACAATCACTTCCATAAGCTTTTGAGTTTTAAATTTTTCTCCCCCTTCCTCCCCCCTCCCTTCCCAAGACAGTGCGCAATCTGATGTAGGCTATACATATACGTTCCTATTAAACATATTTTCACATTAGTGGTGTTGTAAGGAAGAATTAGAACCAATAGGAGGAACCACCAGAAAGAGGAAACAAACCACAACAGAAGAAAAAAAAATAGGAAATAGTATGCTTTGATCTACTTTCAAACTGTATAGTTCTTTCTTTGGATGTGGATAGCATTTTCCATCATGCGACCTTTGGAGATGTCTTACATCCTTGTATTGCTGAGAAGGGTTAAGTCTATCAATATTAGTCATTGCACAACGTGGCTGTAACTGTGTACAATGTTCTCCTGGTTCTGCTCACTTCACTCAGTATCAGTCCGTACAAGTCTTTCCAGGTTTTTCTGAAGTCTGCCTGCTCATCATTTCTTATAGCACAATAGTATTCCATTACATTCATGTAACACAACTTTCTTAATATACTTCATACCCTTAATATCCTGCACCAGGCTACCATTTTTTAATTTTGTAAATAAAATCTTGGGAATAAGGTATGTGTATACAGAGCCATACTTGACATCTCTGTAGAATTTGACATTATTCACCAGCCCTTCCTTCTGGATACTCATGGAAGTGCCTTTGTTATATTACTCTCTCTGGTTCTCCTTCTACCTGTGTGACCATTCCATCTTCGTCTCCTTTGCTGCTATGTTCTGTTCTATCACTGTGGCTGTCCCTAGGGCTCTGTTCTGGGCCCTCTTCTTTTCAGTCCCTATGCTCTTTCTTCTGGGGATATCATCAACTCCCAGTTTTAATATATCTGTGCTCCATATCCATCTAAGCATAGTCCCTCTCTCCTGGGCACCAGTCCTGCATCACCAGCTACCTAGTGGACATTTCACACTGGGCACCTAAACTCAACATGTCCAAACCAGAATTCATTATCTTCCCTCTCCCCCTCCCCCACCCCCATCTTTTCTCATTTCTGTTAAGGACACCATTTTCCTTCTAGTCACCAAGGTTTGCCCTGGACTCATTTGCTCTTCCATCTCCTCTCTTTCTCATCTCCTACATCCAATTAACTGTAAAGCCTGTAAAGGACTGTAAATTCTACCTGTCCATATCTTTTACACTCATCTACCTCTCTGCTCACACAGATACCACCCTAGTTCAGGTCTTAGTCACATCTTACCTTGACTTTTGCATTAGCCTCCTAAATGGCTTTCTTGTTTCCAGTGCATCTTCCACAATCTGACAAATAATTTTTCCAAAACATAAATGTGCCATTCCTCTATTCAAGAATCTTCAGTGGGTTCCTATTACCATTAGAATAAAATGCAAAATCCTTAGCTGAGTGTTTATAACACTTAAAAATATGGTACCACATATATAACCTATATCAAATTATACTGTTTTTTTTGGAGGAGGAAGGAGAGAGAAAATTTGGAATTCACATTTAAAAAAAATGAATTTTACATGTAATTGGAAAAAATAAAATGCTCTTAAATTTAATAAATAAATAAATAATTAGAATGTGGTGCCAGACTACCTTTCCAGGCTTATTACATATCTCTCCATTTTATGCACATACTCTTTGTTTTAATTACACTGGCCTACTTGTTCCTTGAACTCAGCACTTCAACCCCATGTTGTCTACTTTTTATTTATCCAAAATGTTTTGTTGCCATTTAAGTTTATAAAATATCTCCTGGGTATTTGGTATAGCACCAAATCTTCAGAGTAATTTGGGCAGTATTGTCATTTCTGCTGTATTGGCAATGGGAGACTGTTCCTTAGGAGATAAACAAAGAGTGTGTCAGTGGGCAGTCTGACCCAGTACACGACTATGTGAGTTCCTAAGGGGAATGATCTTCCCAGCTGGGGAGAGGGTGGTTCAGGAAAAATTTCTGTTGGCTTTTGAATTGAACTTTATGCCATGGGTAAGATCTGAGCAGGCGAAGAGAGATTGGGCCTTACAGGCCTAGGGAGCAGTAGGAGCAGAGGCACAGAGATGGAGAAATAAAGGACATTTCACATTGGTTGACCTATTCATAGAATTTTTTTTAAAAATATTTTTTACTGTAAACTTGATAAGAGAAAAGAATAGTCATTTATATAGTGCTTAAACTATGTGCCAGGCACTGTGTTAAGCACTTTACAAATATTATCTCATTTGATCCTCACAACAGCTATTGTTGTCCCCATTTTACCATTGAGGAAATTGAGTCAGACAGATATTAAATGACTTGCCCAAGGTCACACAGCTAATAAGTATCTGAGGATGGAGTTAAACTCTGGTATTCCTGACTCTAGGCCCAGTGCTCTATCTGCTGTGCCACCTAGCTGCCTCTATGTCACACAATAAATATGAACATTTAAAAGAACAGAGAAAGCGGATTGTATATGAAACTGCAAACTTCTTTTTTATAAGTTAATTTTAAATACTCATATATTTGTATGTGTATATATGTGTCTGTGTGAATACACACACACACACAATATCAAAACTGCCTTGCTTTTCTATGCTCCCTTCTGAACTTTCTTCTGCTCTCTTCTGTGTATTTCACAAAAATGTTTCAGTGACACTTTTTTTTTTGCATCATTTTCACTACCCATCAATTACTCCCTGTACTCCCCGCCCCAACACACACACATAGAGGCTCTCCCTTGTAACTAATAAGTATAACCAAGCAAAATAAATTCACGTATTGACCATGTATGAAGATGCATGGCTCATTCTGTACCTCGAGTCCTTCACCTTTCTGAAAGGAGTTGGGAGGCATGCTTCATCATTGTTCTTCTGAAATCATGTTTGGTACGGGTAGCTAGGCGGCTCAGTGATTAGAGTACTAGCCCTGAAGTCAGAAGAACCTAAGTTCAAATCTGGCCTCGGACACTTATTAGCTCTATGACTCTTGGCAAGTCACTTAACCCTGATTGCCTCAAAAAAGAAAAAAAAAAGTGGTGTGATAAAATCATATTTGGTTATTGCATTGATCAGAGTTCTTAAGTCATTCAGAGTTATTTTCCTTTATATTGTTATAGTTGTTCATAGAGTTTTCATTTAAGGACTCCCAAATATTTAACCAACTTATACATGTATATGCATATAATTTATAATAAATATATCAGTATTTAACTAATTCATATAATATTTATATAGTTATTTAATGCACATAATATTTTATATATAACTAATTTAATTTATATATTATATAAAATTTAATATATATACACTTACACACATATACATGTGTATATATATACATATTAGCTTCACAACTTTAAGGATCCATAAATCAGTGTAGGTACTTTTTCCACCAATGCAAATTTCAAATCTGTCTGTAACTTAGTAAGTCAAATTCAAGATATTTATTTGGAAAGGCAGACAACTTGCTCCCTCAAAGGTTTTTTTTTGAAGTGATCAACGTATTTCATTTTATTTTTCAGGGAAATTGGTACTATTATCAGATCATTAGGGTGCTGCCCGAGTGAAGGAGAACTACACGATTTGATTGCAGAGGTAAGTAGGACTAAAAAGATTTTGCCTCAGAATTTTTTTTTTTTAGGCAACTTGCCCAGGGTCACACAGCTAGTAAGTGACAAGTGTTTGGTCTGCAGTCAGATTTGAACTCAGGTCCTCCTGACTTCAGTGCTAGTGCTCTATCCACTGCGCCACCTACCTGCCCCCAGAGATTTTTTTTTAAGTCCTCGAAAATACTTGTCATATTTAAAAAAAAAATATGTAAGAGGCAGGGAAAGATCCTGGATTTGGGAGTCAGAAGACCTGGATTCGAGTTCCAACTCAGCCAGTTATAAGTTATGTGACCTTGTTCAAGCAACTTGGTCTGCCTGACCCTCAGTTTATTTTTCTCCCTTAAAGAACTGTCAGGCAGATCATCTGAGATAATAAATAGAAACATTACACAAATGTAAGCTATTGTTGTCTTGTAAATAAATATTTTTTTTAAATAACATCCTTCCTTCCTTTTAGTTAGGGGAGCCACATTCAGAGAGGCCGACAGCAAAACTTTAAAATCAACAAATCAGTATTTGTTACGCGTTGACTACGCACTGAGCTAAGCGCTGTTTGGGTGTCCTTCTCAACATCCATACTAAGGTCCACAGTAAGAGGGCTAAGTGCTGTTTGGATGTTAAGGCGCTTCTTGTCTTGGAAGAGGTTACAGTCCATTTTGGGAGAGAAGAGTAAAGTACACATGAAATAACAAGCAAATGATATGGTAGTATATAACTGAGAACTAAATTATGTGATGCAGACTAATTTCTGTAGAAGTTAAAAAAGCTTTGTATTTTAATTTGTTTTTAATTATGTATATGTATGTGTGTATATATGTATATGTATATACACACATAACAGTATTCACTAAAACTATCGGATCTACTGGTTAAAAAGTATAACAACCCTATGAATGATTGTTCTAAATTGACCTGGTTCCAGAGCCAGAAGATTGGAATTCAAGTTCCACCTCTGACATAGTGGTTCTGTGACCTTGGGCAAGTCGCTTAACTTCTGAAAATGCTTTTAGATAACTCCTAGGGACTATATATTTTAGTTAGTCAACAGTCGTTTATGTGTTAGGCATAGTGCCAAATATTAGGGATGCAGAGAAAGACAAAATCAGTCCCTGACCTCAAGGCTCTCACATTCTAATGTGGGAGTTTTGTTGTTCAGTCCTGACTGAACTGGCTGACTTCATGACCCCATTTTGGAATTTTCTCTCTCTTTTTTTTTTTTAATTTTCTTAGCAAAGATACTGGTGGTTTGTCATTTCCTTCTCCAGCTTGTTTTACAGATGAGGAAACTCAGGCATATAGGATTAAATGACTTGCCCAAGGTCATGCAACTAGTAAGTATCTGAGGCTAGATCTGAACTCATGAAGATGAGTTTTTCTGACTTCAGACCTGGCATTCTATCCTTTGTGACTCAGTACCATCTTGGTCACAGGCTGATGAGTTTTTCAGCCACAGTATGGCTCCCAGATCTTTTTACACTGAGTTCTAGTTAGAAATATTTCAGTCTATGCCAGCGGAGGGAGTTCCCACACAACAAAACCCCAGATTGCAATCCATTTACCACGGGCTTTCAACTGAAGTGTCCTCCTCCACTCCTTACTCTCTCACCCCACATATCCAAGCAGTTGTGAAGTCCTGTGGTTTTTCCCTTTAGAACATCCCTTGCATACACGCTGTTTACTCCTTTGACATTGCTGCCACCCGGGTATAGACCTCATCATCCTTGTGTGCCTGCAGACCACTGCAATAGCCTGATGGTTGACCTCCTTGCATCTCTGATTAGAGAAATTTAATACAAGAGAGTTTTTCCCATTTGACCGTTTCCTTCATATCCAAGGTGCATTTTGTCTGTGCAGAAGCTTTTCAGTTGCGTGTAATCAAAGCTATCCACTTGATCTTTTGTAATTGCTTCTGTCCCCTTTTTGGTTAAGAATACATCTATTAGCTATTGCTGTGAGAAGTATATGACCTATTTCTCTTCTAATTTTTTTATAGCATAACCTTTAATATTAAGGACGTCTATCTATTGAGAATATATTGTGGAATATGGTGTAAGGTGTTGGTCTAAGCCTATTTTTCAGCAGTTTTTATCAAATAAAGGTTTTTTTTCCCCCTCTAGATAATTTATGTTTTCTACTTTACCAAACCTTGGGTTATTGAGATTCTCCTTTGTCTAGTCTGTATCACTGATCTGTCTCTCTATTTTTTAACCAATACCAAATTTTTTTTGATGATTGCTGCTCTATAATATGTTTTGAGGTCTGGAAGTGCTACCTCTTTCAGCATTTCCCTTTATATTCTAGATATTTGTTTTTCAAAATGAATTTTGTTATTATTTTTATCAAGTCTTATAAAGTACTCCCTTGGTAATTTGATGGGAATAGCATTAATAGTATAAACTAACTTTGTATAGTATTGTCATTTTAATTCTATTGGCATGGCCTAGCCATGAGCACTGAATGAGCACTCCAGCTATTTAGGCATTGTTCTTTATTTCTTTAAGCAACACTTAAATTGTAATTAAATCTATACAAGTCTTTTGTTTGCCTTTGGAGGTTGATCCCCAGATATTTTATGCATTTTGTGGTTATCTGGAATTAGGTTTCCCTTTCTGTGATTGCTTCTTGGATTTTATTATTATTATATAGAAATGCAATTGACTTCTGAGGGTTTATTTTGCGGCCTACAACTTTGCTAAAGTTATTGTCTCAATCAGTGCCTTTGTTGATCCCCTGAGATGTTTCAAGTATACCATCAGTCAGTCAATAAACATTTACTATGTGCTGGGCAAACCAATGACCTATTTTCAGTCCTCATTCTACTTGACTTCTCTGTAGCTTTTGAGACTGTTGACCATCCCCTTCCATGACTTCAGTAACACTATTCACTCTCTCTTGGTTTTCCTCCTGCTTATCTGACCACTCAGTCTTAGTATCCTTGATGGTTCGTTATTTTTTTTCCTTCCCACTAAGTATGGGCATCCCTCACAGCTCTGTTATGAGCCCCTTTGTCTTTCCTCTCTACATTCTCTCCATGATACCCTCAACTTTCATGTGTTCAAGTGTTATATTTATGTATATGACTCCAAAGTGGATATATCATATCCAGTCTTAATCTCCCTCTTGAACTCTAAGCTACATTTTCAACTACCTGCTGAATATCCCATAGGTATCTCTAACTCAACATATCCCAAATAGAACTCATTCCATTTTGCCCATAAAACCCATCCATCTTCCAGAATCTCCCTGTGAGGGCACTACCATCCTTCTAGTCACTCAAGTGTGTAACCTTGGAGATATCTGTGTCCCTACCCTGCTGCTCACTGCCTTCCATCTTCAGTCAATTGCCAACACATCAGTTCTGTCATTGCATTTTCCATGTCCATCCCCTTCTCTCCACGAGTAGCCATTGCCCTAGTTCAGACCCTCCTCCTTCCTTAAAAATGAAATTTTGGTATATTTCCTCTATCATTTCTTAATTGTGCTATTTATAATCTTACTAATCTAATTATAGCCAACATTTATATAGTGCTTACTAAGAACCAGGCACTATACTAAGCACTTCAAATTATCTTGTTTTTACCTTTACAACAACCTTGAGAGGTAGTTGCCGTTATTTTCCCCATTTTACAAATGGAGAAACTGAGGCAGACAGCAGTTAAGTGACTGACTTGTCCAGGATCACACAGCTATTAAGTGTTGGAGGTCAGATTTGAACTCAGGTCTTCCTGACTCCAGGCCCGGCCCTCTAATCACTATGCTGCCTAGCTGATCTTTCTCCTTCCGGTTTCTCTGCTTTTGCTGAGCACCTTCTTACCTTGGAGATGTTTCTGCCCTGCGGTCCCCTCTTCTGATCAATGAGTGTCTGGCCCATTATTTCATTCCTCTGTGCCCAGGTGATGCTCACTTGATGCCCAGAATCACTCCCCACTTGATGGACTTTTCTGTCTGCTCACCACCAGCGTTGCCCCATTATCCCTCCTTCCCCCATCTTGCTCTTCCCTTTCCCAGTCCCTTTTATGTGTTATCTTCCTACATTACCATGAGGGTGGGGGCCTTTTTTTTTTCTTGTTAATTTTTGCTAGTATTTGTATCTCCAGTGCTTAGCACAGGGACTGGTACATAGTGAGTACTTAAATGTTTTATCTATCCTAACGAACACTTTATTGATCTCTTGCCTTTCCAGTCCTTCTTCCACAATTGCCAAATTCCCAAACACAGGTCTTACCCTGTCACTTCCCTACTCAAAAAATCTCTAGTGGCTCCCTATTGCCTCTTTTAAAAATTATTTATTTATTTGTTTTTTTGAGAGGAGGCAGTTGGGGTTAAGTGACTTGCCCAGGGTCAGACAGCTAGTAAGTGTCAAATGTTTGGTCTGAGGCCAAATTTAAACTCAGTTCCTCCTGACTACAGGACCAGTGCTCTATCTACTGCACCACCTAGCTGCCCCTGAAATTACTTTGTATTTACTTGTCTGTGTATATATCGTATCTCCTCAGTGGAAGAAAAGATCATTGAGGGCTGGACAATTTTGAGTTTGTCTTTATATGCCGGGCACTTAACAAGATTGTAACTTAATGCATGTTTGTCCAATTAAGTATCATACTTATGGACAAAATGGAAGGATCTGCTGTTAGCATAGTTAAGCTGGATTCAGGGATGATTGACTAAAGGCATTGCCATGGCTGGGTTGATGTCAACTTTGAGAAGATCTTTTATGGGAAGCCCCAGGGATCTATCTATCTATCCTGGGTCTATTTAATATTTCCCTTTTTTCAATTAAAAAATAAGCTGACTAATATCTACCTTTAAAAGTGTTAAGATTAAAGCATTCTTTCTTCCTCTTCTTTTTTCATTTCTTTTTATGTCTCTGGGTTCAATGTGTTTATATCATATGCCTGAGTTATGCTCTGGTTTTCATTATAATTTTTACACTTTCCTTTCTGACTCACATACCCCCACATCATTTGGCATGATGACCAACTCCTA